GAAGATCTCGAGCAATTTAAACAAAGGGGTTTCCCGTGCCACAGGAAATGATTATTGATGGAAGAGTAACGAGAAATGATGAAGCCTGCAAGAAGATTAATTTAAACTGTTGACATTTCGGATCGAATTCTGCAGCGATATTAATCTAAAGTGTCATTTATATTACCCGGGAATTCATTTATTGCGAATAAATACGCGGGCTGCGTATCCACGCTGTAAAAGGATAATGCGTTCTTCTGTTTCTTAAGTGCGAGGGCAAATTATGCAGAATATTAAATAGAATACTTAGTTTTTATCCTCGCAAATCAGATATACGATAAGGGGACAAACAGGGCTAAAAGCGGTAAGCTTTATTTATCGCCCGATTTTAACGTCGGAAGGTAATTTTCGAATTACGGATGGGTTTTTGAACGGATGCGTCTTGTTCGGATGGAGTGTACAGCGTGTCCCATTTTCGATGGTTTCACATTATAATAATAGATTTAAGTCACTTCAGGTGCGCTTCCTTTTAAAACATTTTAGATATACCCAATGATGCGAATATATATTTTAATTTCGGAAGTTTCTAATAATCATCAATAAACAAATTAAATCAAACTAAAATCAGACAGACGAGACAAAATCCAAATTACTAACCCACAAAGCATCTATAAAATGTGACCAAACATTAAGAAAAGTTTTTTTTATCTATTATGAATATTTTCGTGTTAACATAATAAAGCAATTAGGAATTTCGGAAAATGTGGTAAGAAAAAGTTGGAGCTTGGTGAAAGAGGTTTTAGTCTTAAAACAAAAAACATATCTACGTTGCTACATTTTTATATTAATAAAAGCTTAATTATAAAACTAAACAGAGTCAGTTAGTTTAATGAAAAGAAGTTAAAAAAGCACCTTGATCGTATCTCTCGTATTATTTTAAAGCTTGTAAGAGAACGGGGTCTTCTCGGTGTGAAGTGGGTAGCACGAAAACACGGAACAGACTTCTTACTATTTTACTAAGTTTGCGATGTCTTTAACAATTAGTTTGTTAAAAGGAATGATCAATTGCGTGAATAAAACGAAAAAACTTCCCATCCGTCGCGTAACGCCGTCGAACCGCAACTCCCGTGTCGGAATCCGGACTCGTCGTGACGTGCCGGGGTCCGAGCGGGATCAACGGGTTTTTTGCGTCGGGCCGTCTTAAGGCGTTGCGGTTAAGATAATGGCATCGGTGCAGTGGTGGTTCGTTACAAACTATTGTTTTGCGGTGTTTGTGACGCAAGGCTGCTTTTTCATGAAATCAGAGATGGCATAAACATCGATGTCATAGCTATCTTAGATTTTAAGATACAAGGTGATTTTAGAAGTTGGAAAAAAAGTGAAAACTGGTCTGGATAGGGTTTTTTACGTGGTGTAGTCAAACATTTCGATATATAAACTAAACTTGTGTTTTTTAATGCAAATGTTTCAAAGAAACTTCCACGGACTACTGAATTACTATTTATAAATCTGCGTCGGATGAGCAACTTGATCAAGTTCCGCCAACCGACCCAGGAGGATTCCTGAAGTTTTGTAAATAGTTTTTTTTAATGTTATTAACTTTTTATTTAAAATACAAATTTCATTCATTTATTTTTTTTTAAGAGCAAGCCAAGGAAAATACAGATGTTTTTATTACGAAAAGTTACTTACTTGTCAAAATTAACTTGTTTGTGAGCCATAGCAGAAAAAAAAAGGAGGCGCAAATTAAAATAGTAATTATGAAATATCTTGACTCAATGATGTTAAGAAAACTGACCTTTTTTTCCATGACCTTATTTAAAAAATTAAAATTAATGATATATAATTTGTATACCTCTTACGTGTTAATATTTTTGAAAAGCTCACAACAAGCCTAATAAAGTTACAACACACACATAGGGTGTTCCTTCCATTAACAAGAAACACAACTTTAGTTTTTGTATCAACATAATTGAATTGCAAAGGGTATCTAAAAATGCAACATTTTAAAAATCACGCTGTGTTTAAAAATACAAGGTAGCTATTTTTAAACACATTTTCATTTAATAAAAAGTAGCCATGATAGCCACAACGCTCCAGCTTTATTAATAAGGAAAATACACCGCAAAAATCATCAAAAACGAGACACACTGTACTTTGTTAAATCTGTTCTGCTAAAAGTATGCTTTCAAAAATTAAAAAATCGAAGGTTATGTGAGCAATGAATATCATAATTATAATATTTCAAAAAGATTTTTCGTGTAATTGTTTTCAATTTAAACTGTTTTTAGTTTATTATAAAGAAACTCTCTAGGTAGGTTAAAAAAAATAAAACCCCGCGCTATGGAATTAAATATTTTATGAAAAAGTTTTGCTTGAAATGAACATGAATATACAACATAATAATTTTGGATCTGACCTACACAAATGCAAATAATAGAACTATCTGCATGTAATTATGTATTATTATATTTAACACAAAAATCAATAACAAGCAAGGGAAATAATATTAAAGACCGCATAGAAGGAGAAATATAAGTACTGGAAATGTCGAATGGTTCGAAAAGCGTACTATAAGATTATAATTTATTATACAATACGGATCATCGATTCCATGGTGGTTTACGCAGGTTTTGGATTTGTTTTGTGAGCTAAAGTATCATTATATTAGGACGGTCCTAATAATTGTTGAAATGGAACGCTTTTTATTCGAATTATGGAATCTATTTTTGTCAATCTGAAAGCGACTAGTACTTCGGGAGTCCGTGTGGTCATTTTTGACGTGGTCTTGTTATTCGTAAAGACACAGCAACAATTCTTGACTGTTTTGAATTCATTTATGGTGCTCTCGATGGGAAAGAACATTGTGTAGGTTTATTTTATGATTTAAGTAGAGCGTTCGGCCCTCCAAATCGCAAATTCTTATTAGATAGATAGTATGAGTGCTGCAGGGATTTATTATGGGTATGTGTGGTCCTAGCTTTGGTTGTACAGTTCTTTGTGCTGATGATACCAATAATTCATTATTCTTAACTCAAATAATACGTTATTGATTCAGTTTTATTCTAGAAATTTATTTTAAATTATGATTTACAAATTAAAGTGAATGGAAACTCCATAAAGGTACAGTGTAATTAAGTTCCTTGGTTTGAACATTGACTGTAAAATTACTAGGGACGAGCATATTGACTGTGATGTAAAACAATACTTCTTTGTGTTTTTAATGAGAAGATTAAAGGAAGCTGTTTTTGAGGGTATTCTCAAACTTGTGTACTTTGAGCTTGTAAGTTGCTATACCCATTCTCAGAGAGCATTTATCATGCAAGACAAAGCCCTCTTTGTATGTACGAGGTTAGCGCCAAAATTTCCCGGCTTGACATAGATGCAGCTCCAGTATCACTATAAAACTTTGTCTTCTTTTAAATATATGTCTTAGTAGGCTGCGAAACAAAAATGGAAGTCTTGCGTCAAATAGTTTTTTATTGACAGCATTTTAAACAAGACGTGTCCGAAAAAATGTCGCAAATAATTCAAATTGAGTATAGAGCAGTCATAAAGTTTTTGACAAAAGAAGGATTAGCACCTAAAATAATTAAAGAAAGGCTGGATGGTGTGTACGGCCAAAGTTCTTCTTCGTATTCTGTAGTGAAAGAATGATCAAAACGTTTTCGAATGGGACAGGAGTCCCTTGAAGATGATTCAAGAACTGGTCGACCAGTGGAGGTCATAACGGAAGATATTGTTGCGGTTGTGGAAGAGGTGGTATTGAGTGATCGACGTTTAAAGGTCAAGGAAATCTCAGAAATTACTAAGCTCTCTGATACAAGTGTTCGTCGAATACTGCATGATCATTTAGGTATGCATAAGGTTAGCGCAAGATGGGTTCCTAAAAATACCTTTCGGTTATTCAAAAACAACGCCATGTCAAGTGTGCGCGGTCTGTGGATCGGAACCGAAGCTTGTGATAGAAACTATTGTGACGGGAGATGAAACTATGGTTCTCTATTATGACCCTCTATCAGAGTCTGCCAGTCAACAAAAAAGGTGATGGCCACGATCTTTTGGGGTTGTGAAGGAATTCTTTTGATAGGTTTTAGAGAAACTAATACCACTGTCAATGGTAAATATTACGCAACATTATTACATAAATTGCGAGACTGCATACGTGTAAAACGTCGAGGAAAACTGAACAGAGGCGTGCGTCTTTTGCACGATAATGCACCTATCCATACTGCTGGTGTTGCACAAGCTGCCATTTTAGAGTATGGGTTCCAACAGATAGATCATCGTCCCTATAGTCCAGATATGGCCCCCAGCGACTATTATTTGTTTGGATATTTGAAAAAGGACTTACGTGGACGGCGGTTTAACGACGAAGTTGAGTTAAAAGAGACTATTTTAGCCCATTTTGCGGACAAACCAAAAGAATATTTTTTTAAAGGGATTGAGTTGTTAATAAAGAGATGTAATAAGTGTATTGAAGTTAAGGGGGATTATATTGAAAAATAATAAAAAATTGTTACTTTACTTAGTTTCTTTCATATTCAGGCCGGGAAATGTTGGCGCTGCCCCCGTATTTTAATTAATAAACTTTGTATATTTACTTGTAAATTCATAACAACGTAATCTGGATATTCATTCTCATGATACTTTTTTACGTCGTTATTAAGTGTTTCAAAAAAATATGATATTAAATTGGTCAACATGAACTTCATAAAACATTTTATGCGATAAAGCATTATATTTCGTACAAGAGCTTTTGCATTACTGCTTATAAATTATTTATTATTATTATTTAAATTATTTATTTTAAAATTTAATTGATATAGATGAGAGCGCGTGACAAGCTTAAGCTTGTCATAGTTGGACCATCCAGTATGATGAAAGTAATTATAAAATACACCCGGTCTATAAAAAGAAATTTTCCCAAATATTTAAAAAAGGTGTTTCCACCTGCGCAATCCATTCATCCGATATTACCAAAGTATTTTCTAGTGAATAATAAGAAAAAATTGTTTCAGATCTCCTTGTGTGAAGATTACAGTTTACCAGTCGACCACTTAGCCCAATTAGCAAAAAAACGACCAAATAGCATAGCCGTGTCCAACAATTGCTTTATTTCGCAAAATTTTTCCGAACTTATAATTTCAAGTCCCGAAGAAGAACAGGTAAGCGGTTTGATTAAACATAAGCGAAAGCAACCCCCTTACGCATGCACTTAAGGATAAGGCGTTTGTGTTTAACAATTTATCAACATGCACACAGAGGGGAACTAAACTTTAGCGTAGCGTTACAAAGTGCGAATCTTCTACCCCTGCTTCATTGGAAAATTTATAGCCCAAACTTGACCGGAATACTGAAAGTTCCACTTCGTTGTCGGCGATGTCTACTAAACAAGAGTTACGCTCATCTCATGGCACATCACACTCGTAACAAAACGAAACAAGTTCTCAAAAACACCAGCGCATTCGTCTGAGAAGGCTGACAAATTCTAATTATGTCAATTTGCTCGTGTGTCGTTACGCTTTTTGACATTCACTTCAGGACGCGACGCTATTAAATCCTGCTTGAGCTAAAGAATTTCAATTAGAATCTACGACGTTTACTGTTTTCCGTTGGACTCGGGTATTTATTTAAAGAATTCACGAACTATAAATTTCAATCGGAGCGCCACGTAAATTCTTTTCACGTTGGTTTAAACAGATTGCAGTGCAATTACGTTCTATTATAAAGTTCATTATTTTATATTGACTTTTATAATACTGGAGGCCAAAACATATAAAATTCGTCAAACAAAATAAGAACTAAAAGTTCAGATTATCACGAAATTATGTATATTATAATTTTATTGGAAGCAATGGTGATTAACAAAATGAGACATTCAAATGTATTGCTTAATGATCAATTAGATTTAAATACATCTCTTTTATTGAACTTTAATTCTCACAACAACATTAATTAACGTTTTATGGTCATTTTTCGGTATATATAGTAACAGGTAGTTTGTAAATATTAAATTTGGTAAAGACACGGTGTTGTCGAAACAATTGTCATGTCAAAATATAGAATTTCGTGAAAATCTGAACTTTTAGTTCTTATTTATTTTGATAAATGGATTTTCATCAAGTAAATGCCACCTCAGTTCAATTCGTCAAACGACTGGACTGCATTTAAGAATTTCATTATCTAAAATTAATGTGAGTACCGGATGGATCAAATAAGACCTTTTAATCATTTATTTTGATTTTTTTTATGCATTAAAGTTTTCTATGGAAATTATGTATGAAATAATATGACCTCAGACACATGACCACTTTCTCGAAACAGAGAGATTGCCTGGCTCTTTTTAACACGTTTTCCAATATACCATGTAATGTTTCTGGTTGAAGGCTCAGTATTTCGCCTCGAATATTCTACTTCAGCTGTCTAATAATCTCTGGTTTATTAACGTAGCCCACCTTGTCTTTGAAATATCCTCATTAAAAATGCGGCGCAGTTAAATCTGGCGAACGAGGTGGCCAAGGGAAACCTAAATTTTTTAACTTCAGATTTACGGCAAAAATTTCACGCAGCTGCGAACTGCTTTGTCTTGTTGAAACCACAATTCTATAACAAGCTCTGGAAATCGTTTCTGTACTTCTCAACGAAATATGGGCCGATAACTCTATTGGCCATAACACCGCACCAAAAAGTACAATTAGATGGGTGCAACCGTATAATTATAGAGGCCTTGTCTATGCGGGAATTATTGAAATGACGATGAGACGATGAGAATTGAAATATTGAAGATGCCCGTTGACAGTTCGTCAGTTCGAGAGGTTTCAGTTTAGATGAAGCATTTTCGGAGCGGTATTTTCTCAAAATATGATTAAGTGAATAGTGAAATTTAGAGGCGTGAGTGGAAGATCTACTACTAATATTATCTACTACTACTATATCAAAACATTATTTATTATTTGGTTAAGAGATGAATTGGAGTTTCCTTCTCTTCTCAACATTGCCTTCTTAGATGGCTTCCTACCTATTAAAACATTATTAAAAAAATATATTTCTGAGGTTAATTGTCTATAATGGATAACGTCGTTATTGATGGTAGCAGCGTTTGCACAATTTGAGTTTTGTATGGGTCCATCTTATCTGCAACCAAACGCTGCGCCATAGTAATTGATCGTTGGCAAGAAAAGAGAAACTTTTAAGTTTTAAATTTGTTATTTAAATTCGATTTTAACGAGTTGTTTTCTACTGTATGGTTCAATAATAAATTTAGAAGAATTCAATTATAACATGCAAAAAGAAAAAAATATATATCAAAAAAATTAAGTTATTTGTGAAATTAATGTGAAAAATATCAATTCTTAAAGTAGAATTGGGGTTTCAATACCTGCAGTCATCTCTGTAACTAAGATCGCTTTGGGAAATAAATCATGTGGCCTCAATTCGCTCTGCCGTAAGTAAATGCAAGTCCAAGTGAAGTGGAAGATTTCTTATTGAAAAACTATGCCTCGCAGTTTTTTTACAATCATCACAGACATTTTGCTGGGATATATAATTTCAAGTTAATACTCGAGAGATGAATTGATTTTTGTACATGATCACTTGAGATTTTACGATGACTCATAGTCCAATCCACCCTACATTTAAGCTTCGCCCTTTCATGCCCGTTTAAGAGAACGAAAATACTGCGTAATATTACACTCGAGTTTAATTACTTAAATAATTTCTCTAGGGTCCCATGCAAAGTCCTCCGTTCCACCGTACCTAAACGCTGACTGTCAATGTGTTTTTGTTCCCGCGGTAATCGACACATTCTCTCCATTTGTCGCTAGATAGGTACTTGAGTTTACCCCTAAATGCGAATAGTTGACGAGTTTGATGGTTATTATCCAAAGTTCGGGAATGTCGATTGATGCTGATGGTATTCAGTCGTTTAAGGTGGCGTGATTTATGCTGAAAACAATATGGAGAACCATTGAACAATATATCATTTAATGTAGGGAACAGGCGAAGGATGGAAATACTCGGAAAGTCCTCCAAACGTATGGTTTAACGCCCATTTTTTTAGGTTGTAGTATTAGACACATATTCAACTCCAAGAGATTCCCAACAGCAACTAACTCAGGAAGATAACGAAACAAAGTGTTTTACTAGTCCAGATAAGGAATATTCGCAACCGTATACTACTGGTTAGTATGTTTTAAAGGAAGGATAGTATTAACGCTATTTAGGGAACGCACACCGACGCTGACCGCGGAGTTAAATTGTTATTTTCATCCCCCTTAGTTTTTAATTACATCGAAAACCCTTCAATTCTACCCCTTTTAGGGCGAAATCGAGCCGCATTCACGAGATTTTACAAAACGAATATGTACCTATCTCTGACGCAAAAAACTTTCAAATAACAAAATAAAATTCAATGTTTTTCGGTAGCTGGGGGAGTTCTAATACGAAATGAAAAATGACGAAAATTCAAATGAAATCCTTATCGTCGGCGAAAGGCACGTACCATTTTTTTTTATAATAGGATTCGACGCCCTCCAAGAACACGAAACACGCGGGAAAATTAGCAATGTTATATTTCTGCGCTTTCCGATTACATTGCTTAAACGGATTTACTCGATGACACTTCTCATTTTCGTGTTTGATGATAAATTTAAAAACGGTTCTCTCAGATTCGGCGTTAATCCGCTAGTCTAGAGGAACGCTCTCGGTTTTACTTAGGGCTTTATTAAGTCTCTGCTTAAGTTTAAGACAAGGCGCGAGTGGAATATTATACAGGCTGTGAATTTTTCGTAATGGAGGCAATCTGGCAGATGTCGATACGTTTGTAGTGAAAAACTAAAATGAAAAATGCCTCCGTCGACAGTTTTATCCTGGCATAAGATCTGACGGATAGGCAATATAAATGACGCCTTAAGCTGCGAACAAGCGAGTCCCAAGATTTCTTTTTTTGGGAGGGTGGGCGGGTGGTAAGAGGACGACGGGGGGATTGAAGACGCCCAACATTGCAAAAGCTAGAGGCAATCGATTAAATCGTTTTTAAACGACTCTGTCAAAGGCAACAGCAAGAAACAAATCTGCCGATGGATCGAGTTTATTTATTCATATTAAAATTGATAGAGTAGTATTCTTTCAATTTAATCGATATATTGAAATATGAAATCAATATTTACTTCATATGAGCCGAATTGTTTAATTTTGAATTTTGAACAAAACTGTGTAAATTTAGCGATGAGTAGAAAATATTTTTTCTTTTGTTTTAACGAAATTAAGTTATTTCGTAATTTCGATTTTAAGGTGGGATGAAAAGTAATTATTATCCAGTTAGAAAACTTAATAGCAATTTAATATAATGTAAGGGATGGGGAGCGTCGAAAATAAGAGCGCGAAGATGAAGTGAATTATGCTGCGTTGTAGGAAAGCCGTACGTGATGGGAGGCCCATTATGTAAATGGCTGAGACGAAAATAATCAGTAATTAGAAAGTTAAAGTAATAAACGGGGCATACTTGATAATATTAAATTGCAAGGGCGCTCGCGTTCTTCTCATTATCAGATGAATTGCTTTAATGAAATCAAAACTCTTTTGGAGTTTGATTTTTGATAATTTATACAGCGTACATCGACGTTTCAGAGGAGTCCTCAAATCCTACATCAGACGAGGAATTTGCCTATCCTTCGGCATCCAAGCAGGATCCGCTAAATCTCAATTCACCTGATAGTATAAACGAATGCACCGCGTTAGCTCCTTGTACAATTCTAGACGTTTTGTCGCCAAATAAAACAGAATCTGCAAACGCCAAACGACACCCGTCACCGTACTATTACGGTGACCTTTTTAAATATAAAACTGCGGAGACTTCATCCCCACCTAAGAAAAATAGTATCAGAAGGAACCAAAGCCTAAAACAACAAGAGAAGTCTGAGTCAACCAGAAGAACCAAATCTACAAGAAAACACCGAAGAAGTACTGGCGACGGTGGGGAATTTCTATTATATAAAGAGAAGACTTTAAGAAGCAAACAGCAACTAAGGTAGTGGTGATTCTTGTACTTTAGTCCTGCTTACTTAAATTTTGCAGACATAAGAAGAGTTCCAGTTTAGATAGTCATAGTACAGACTCCCGCGATGCATCTAACGGCAGTAATCAACCGCAGCTTCAGCTTCAAATGCCGCCTAATCATAGCTTAAATGTTTCTACAGCCTTTGAAGATGGATTAGACGATATGACTCGCCAAAGGCATGTCTACGAAACCGCATTTGATTGTCGTATCAGCAAGTCAGATGACGACTTAGACCAGATTGACAAAGTTAGTAACCATCCAGTTCTTATACAAATAGATACTGCTTGGGGTTCACAAATCGGAGTGCAGTCTCCAAAAGGTATATTTACGTAATTCAGCCGGTGTACTACTGAAAATTCTCTGGTTTTCTAGAAGGTTCTGTCAAGGCTAAATTAAAGGAACCTAAAGAGAAACCGAGCCAATCACAAGAAGACAATAACCAGGTAACAACTCTGTCCCAAGACTTGCAGGTAAGTTGGTATCAAAAGTTTTGTCAAAAGTCAACTGACGTGCTCTATTGCAGAACATGCATCTTGCCAAAGATGACACAGCGTCTCCATCTGCTGGTTTACTAATGCGAGGTTATACACCCTCACCCCCGTCCACTGCCCCTCTTCCGTCGAAATTTCCAGGGAAAGAACTAATGATGAACAGCATACGAAGTGCCCCGAACTTGCCTTCCAAATCTCGACACAAAGATCTAAATTTACCCGTAAAGTCGCTCAGAGGAAAATCTCCAACTGCTAGTAGTGCCAGTTTACAGTTGCGTCAAGGGAGCGCCTTCGACATTGAATTTGGCAGTAGCTCCAATTCAAAATCAATCTCAGAATTTAAAGGGCGACCCGGAAATTCCAGGGTACAAAATCAAGAAAACGTAAATTATCTCCATGGCGGTAAAGATTCTGTTCCTAAAGACATTATTTTAGGAACGAATTAGTGAAATTAAAAGCAGGCCGAAACGCGATCTCTTGATTTTACCAGTTAGATCTAAGGATGGTTTGATTAGAAGGATTCGACACAAATATTCTTCATCAGAGAGTATTACCACTAGTAGCAGCGGCGGCAGCATGGAGAGCATTAAAAGCAGTACTAGTGAAGGCAATAGAAGTACCAGCAGCTCTGAAAGCAGACAGTCGGCTTCTCTAAGTTCACATAGTTCTGATTCAGGAGGTACGATTTGCGAAATGTTCAATTTGATTTAATAAATATATCAGAATTACTCTATTGCATTGTATCAAAGCGCCGAAAGGTCACCAAAAATAAAATGTAAGTTTTAGTTTAATAAGGCTAAGTTTTGAGGAAAAAGTCAGAATTTCTGGAGAGTAAGTTAGAATTTCTGGAAAATAAGTTGGAATTTCTGAAAACTACATCGGAATTTCTGAAAATCAAGTTAGAATTTGTGACGTAGGTCTCTTGTAAGGGACAGTGCCAATCGAAACATCAGATATAAATGAATAAATAAAACCGCCTTTATTTTAAGCTCGGCGAAGGTCAGCTGAGCTGTTAACAGGACGTTCAACTTAATTTAGTATACCAACTTTTCATCGCAAAAATATATACATAACAAGATATGAATGAAGCATATACAGGGTGGTTCATAAAGAATGGACAATCTGTAAATTGTAGATACTAAACGCCAAAATATAATTGAATTCAACATCCCTCATACATATGTCTCTGATTTCGGAGATACAGGGCGTTCAAAGTTTAAATTTTATTCTGATTTTTGCCATTAATTGAGAAAGCTTTTATAGTATAATAATATGAATTAGCAGTTTTTTGACGTTACAATTACGAATTGGAAATTTATTACGTTGCTCCTATTATTTAGAGAAATCGAATATTGTTTTATCTGTCTGTCTGTCCTATTTTCCACAAATTCTGATTGAGTTAGAAATTCTAATTTATTCCTCAAAAATTTGCCTTAACGCGACGATATTTTGGAATTTTCAGACGCTTCCAATATTTCTTGCTGTTACAAATCTTTGGAGTTATTGTCCCATTTAATTCCTACCAAATGTAATATGTTTCAGGCAACCGCCCTCAATCTTACACAACTGCCCAAGGCAATTTTCTAATACAACAGCAAGTGAACAACAAACTTCATATCCTAAGTCCAATATCAGATAAGTCGTCGCAAGAACCGATATCAGAAACTTCTGACAATAATAAAAATAATAACTCCCAAAAATGTTCTCCAGAATCGACGGTTAAACCCTCAGTAACTAACACTGAGGCGAAATTTAAGAAAAGATTTCCACAAAATAAAAATCTCTTGAGTCTGAGTTTGCACGATAGACCTGAAATACAGGGATCTGATAGCGGAATCTCCATTCAAAGTCGGGAAGGTAGAAAGATAAACTACACCGTTGAGATCATTGACCAAGCCAAATGCAATTTATTTACAGGCGTCAAGTCCAGGTTTGGTTTTTTAACGGTAGATTTGTCAGCACATCCCTCTCAACACGATTTTTCCGACCTACCGTTCGATATGCCCAAATTAAGAAGACGGAGAATAGTCCCGGAAGTAGCGTGTACGTCTGGAAGCGCTACCTCAGTAGATCTCAGAGACTTACCGTTTGATATGCCTAAATTGAGAAGACGTATGAGGCTGCAGACTGGAAACCTTGAAGACAGCGCATCTCAAGCTTCGTCGAGTCAAAGTGTCGTTGAAGGCACTAGGCGACCGAAATTAACTTTAAATTTAAGCGATGCAGGTCTTAGACAACGACCTGGACTAGGTATTACATTGACGGGTATTGGATTAAATATTGCAAATGATGGGGCCTCTACTAGTCAGTATAATCCAACCACATTTACTATGTGCGATAATGTTATTGACGCCAATCAGCCTTTAGAAAAGCAAGGGTGAGCAACGCCATAATGTATTTGTAAATCAAATGCAAGAAATATGTTATTTTAGTTGGTTCCACGGATCGATAAGCAGAGTGGAAGCCGAAAATGTGTTACGCGCTCTTCGAGAAGGAAGTTTTCTAGTCAGAAATAGTGAATCAATCAAAAACGATTACTCGTTATCTTTAAAGTAAGTACCTGAATTGTTAAAAATAATAAGTGAAATAAAACGTATTTTTGCAGGAGTGCTAGAGGTTTTATGCATATGAGGATACAAAAAAATGGGGTCGATGGTTGTTTTATTCTTGGACAGTTTAGTAAACCATTTTCATCGATCCCGGAAATGATAAAACACTTTTCGATGAATCGCTTACCCATACGTGGAGCGGAACATATGTGCTTATTGCAACCCGTTATCGCACAACTTTTGTGATAAAATTTGATTGGATTGCTCCTTTTGTGATTTTTGTAAAATGTTACTCATCATGTGGTTAACGTGTGAGGGACATACCTATAACTATACACACAGCACGAAGAGAATAGAACATGCAGAAATTTGTCAAATTTCAAGACACCACTAACTGAAAACATGATATTGAATTTTAATGCTGAAATTTTCGGATATTTCTGCATGCTCAATGGAATTTTTGTATATACCTACTATGTAAGTCCAGTGTTGCCAGATGACGAGACAAATTTGCTATATACATAATATGTAGATTCAGTCCAGCAAGGTGTGAAAAAACTTGAAAACAGAGATTTTGGTAACATTTACAACAATTTCAAACCAAGGATGTTTTCAAATTTATTTTGCAAAATACTTATTGAATTTCTATATTTCTAAAATAAAATATATAAAAAAAATTGTCCTACGGTTGGCAGCACTGTTTACATTTGATATATTGATCAAAAAGGAGCCTTTAGCGAAAACTGTGTAATAAAATATAACAAAAAGCAAATAACGTTACTTCCATAATCAAAATTTTGTTAATAAAATAATTTTACGTTAGCTACCGTAGACCGTCAATTCTTGCAATTTCATTAACAAATAACACCCTTGGACCGACGATGGACCTTCTGCATTATCATTAACATAAATTGTCATGAGATAAGACAAACATCAACACCACTTATTATTTCTTGTTACATGTTGATGATTTTTCTATTATATACGAAGATAGCACATCGACAATCGCCAATCTACAATGTTTTGGCGTAGATGTTCTACCATAGGCCTCCATATCAAGTGCAGGTACTAAGGTTACTTAAGGTTGTTTGTGAAAAATTCATGCATGAGTCTTGTTGGTACATATATTTGTTGCTTTTTATTTATTAGAATAGTGAAATTTATTTCTGTTCTTTTTATGAAACAAAACTGATGAAATCAACACGAATTTAAAGGCTTGTAGGCTGCCGCTCAAATATCCACTGTTCAAAACTGTTTAAACGCTAACAAATTTTGAGGCAGAACAATTCGTGGAAGGCTAGTCAAAACAAATTTTTATAGTGTCCTTCAAAAGGCAAGAGTGCAATAATAAGCTATTTTGTGAATTCCAGTATTATTTTTGTTTTCGTTTATTGTTATAAAATATTAATAATGGTGTTCCAATTAGTTCTGGAAGGATTTTTCAAACTTATTGCCAAAGAAAATGACTGTGAATATTTTACATACTTATATATTATATACATTTCAAAGTTATATTAGAATTAAGAATTAGGCCTTAGATCAATGTAACGTTAGAAGAGAATCCTTATATTAATACTTCTGCATTTATGGCTCTTTGTAGGTTAAGTTTTGTTGTTTTTACTCATTTGCTCCTACAGTGTTTCAAAAATAATACCCCCCAACACCCCGCCCTATTTATCTTTGGTAATAAATTCAAATCAATTCAACTTTATATGTTTATAAGTAAAAATAATATAAAACATTTTTAAAATGGCAATTACAAATTACAATTTAAAATTATATTGCATATTGCTAAGGGTTTTGTAATGCCCAAACTTGTATTAGTTTTGGAACACAGTATACGACAGAATTCACATTTACATATGTAGAGTGATCATTTAATAGGTCTTTAATAATAAATGTGTTAATTAACAGTATGGGACTGAATAAAATGAACTTTCAGAATTGGTTTCATTTAAAACACAATTCACTTTCTCAGTATCATATATTTTAAACAATGACTAGGTGGGTTTGTCACATAGAACCAAAGACAATATACATAATAAGGTCTTTGAGTAAAACCTTAAAAGTTTAAAACAATAACATATACCTTAAGTTTTCAATAACTCGTTTGTAAGCAATATCAAAATATTATTGATATTAAGATATTCTGTAGGCAAATTGGCTTATTTGATTTCATACCAAACTAATAGCGAATTCTATTGCGAGGTCGGTAGGCACTAAGAGGATATTTTTGTGTCCGTTTTTGAATATTAGCTAATAGAGGATAACAATACAATTTAGTCCTCACTGACTCTCCCAAAGCAATTCACTATATTAACAAAAATATGTTCAATTAAGACAAAAAGTTTAAATTCCACCTGGCTGTATTGAAATAATATGATGTTTCATCAATGGTCAATAGTGTGCCCTGTGAAACCTTTTAGGAATGGTTTGTAAAAAATAAGTATATTAATGATGCAAAGGTAAAAATCAGTTTGGGTCACTTTCAGCTTCACTATCTAAATTTACAATGTATTTTTCAACTAATTCTTCATACTCAAGTCTATAAGGTAACAATGGTATAACAAATACTGATATATCATCACAGGATGCTGGTTTACCACCTTTCAATTGCCACGAATGTTCATTCACCAGGGATCCTCTTGCATATCCTACAAGGCAGGTGGCTCCGCTAATGAATCTTTTGCCCTCAAAAGCATTTATAGATTTTTCTATAATTTCTGATGCTTTGTGTCCATCGACAACGTCCCACAAACCATCTGTTCCCATCACTAGAACTTCTTTTTCATCAGTTGCCGTTATTTTATGAACCTGCACTTCAGGATGTGCGGACAAGAACGGTTTTATTGGTGTCTTTTGATAAATAGCTAAAAGATCATGATCTCCAAATCCTCTTGTCACTCCTATAGTCCCCATAACTCTACTCTATTGCAAAAAAAATAACAACACAATTAACATTAAAGATATCAAAACAATTTTTTGGCATACCCTTTTACCCTGGCCAGTGATCACAGACATTTTTAAATCTTCAGGCTGTAAAGTTTTATATGCCCAGCCTTTCATATAAGCATCTCGGAACATAACCGTTTTGCCTAGATCACCAGATTTGGGTTGTTTTATGTATTCTTTAGATGTGAACTCCTTTCCTGAAAAATTATATTACTAACAAAAATGACTGGCATAATTTAGCTTAACCTAAAAGTGATGGTTGTTCTTCTGCTAGCCTTCTTATTCTATCCCTTTCATTTTCAGGGGTGAAGTCCATAGACATAGGCTGAAATGAATTGCCTCTACAGATTATTGCACGAGAATCGCCTGCATTGGCTAAATATAATTTTCCCAATATAAATAGAGCAACAAGAGCTGTGCATCCACCAGCTGCTTGGTACTTGTTGCGATCTTCTGACAAAAGTTGGTCCTTAAATGAGCTATTATCTATCTGAATCCTGGTCTTTTAAGATTACCCACCATTTCTTTAAATGCAGATTCTAAAGCACCGACTATCAATAGATCCCTTGGTTTTGAAGCCGGAATAGTCTTTTCGCTAAAATCTACCCATATATCATCTTGAGCATCAACTAATTTCTCCTGAAAACAGAATTCTGACATAATTTAAATGTTTGCAGGAATTGTTGTATACTAATTTGACTGGTTGGTTAGAGAAAAGGTTATTGTCAAACTACTAAAATACAACATTTTTTCTGTGATTTAAAAAAGTTTCTGAACATTAATTTTAAAGGCAGGGGTCAGACTCCAAAATATTGGATAAATTAGTCATTTAGCTAAATTATTAAAATGCTTAACTGTAAATTTTGTTATGTACCTAGTTAATATTTACTAAAATGATTAGTCAAACTAAAAAAAGATTAATAAAACTTATCTAAAAAATTATTTAAAATTTTGGGAAAATTGGTGTATTCCTAGAACAATAAATTTTTTCATTAGCAAAAGATAGAGAATTATGAATAAAAAATATATTTACATGGATAATGTGGTGTAACTGGTTAGCGGCACACAAAGCAGCTCCAACCCCAGCATGCCCGTCAAAAATTCCATAATAAGTGTAAGGAATGGAAAACTTTTTAACATTTCCTGTGTCATCCTGACTAACTCTGCTTAAAACTCCTTGTCTATAAACAGCCTGATCCTCGTTCCACCTTGATTTGCCTGCATTTACACATTCGGCATAACCACTATCGTGTGGTAGTGGCCTGTTTGGATGAATTATGGGGCGTAGTTTGTGATCCGCAGACATCTGCACTTCATCATCGCCTAAACTTAAGAAATGGGGCCTACCATAAGGAAATTTTGGTGCTAATGTTGCTTTATTATACTGCGTTCCTTCTACGGCATAGCCATTGGGTTCCAAACCAGTCACCGCACCTATTACTGCACTCTTAAATCGATTGAACATAGTTATATCCAGTGATTTTTATCATTTACTACCAAAAATTGCCCAAACAAAAATAAAAACATGAAACACAACTGTGTGGAAATTTATACCATAGTTAAGATACCATTTTGTTTTGGTCAGTTTATGTTTCAAGAACTCCTGGCCATAAAGGATATCATTATAATGGGAAATTTTAATTCTGAACATCTACTGTACAGATTCTTTCCATCGTTCTATACAGAGCATACAAACTTTCTTCTCTGAACCCACCAGTCTCTCTGATTTCTTTCCTTCTGTTGTGAATTAAAATGTGTAGTTCAACAATGACATATAGCACATAGCTATTAGATGATGTAGTGTAGTGTATCTTCAAAGGGAACGTGAGATTTCAAAAATCGCGCATGTTCAATCAACTTTCTCATTTTTTTCCATCGTTGCTTCATAAGTTCTTGTATTTATTATCGGCATTAGGCAGGGCCTAGTAGCTATATGATATATAGTATATAATATATAGTATATAATATACGTACTCTACTAGCGCCCAAACAATAGTGCTGCGCTAAAATTCTTCTTCGTGCAGCAGATGGTACATAAACCAAGCAGAAACAACTGCGCAGAATGACTAAATTCTTAATAAATAAGGTATAATGTATTATTGGATTATATATTCCGAGATAATTTAAAAAATAAACCTAATTTCTTGAAAAAGGAGTTAATGTAGGGGAGGAACGTTAATTTTAATACCTCTCACAATAACTCACAGACGAACCTGCACAAATTCACCTATTTAGGTTCTGTGTCCGAGGTATATACATACAACAGAGGTCAAGATATTCATAATGTAACTTTATTGTGTATGTATATTTTTAAAAATCTTTTGCTGTTTATAAATTTATATGTTTATAGAATGTACCCCTTCTGCAAATATTTTTAATAGTATGTTTACAAAATTGACTATGTACTTTTACTTAAGGTATCTTGCAATTAAGCTGTTGAATAATCATTAAATGTTAATCAATTTTTGCCGGTGCTGCAGCCAGAATATTTAAACGCTCAGAAGATGACTTCATTAACAACCAATGCACCTTCTTCTGCTGATGCATGTCTCAGTATTGTTCATAGTTTAATGTGCCATAGACAAGGTGGTGAAAGTGAAGGATTTGCCAAAAGAGCTATAGAATCTCTAGTTAAAAAACTCAAAGAAAAGAGGGACGAACTAGATTCGCTAATTACAGCAATAACTACCAGTGGAGCACATCCAAGCAAATGTGTTACTATTCAAAGAACTTTAGATGGTAGACTACAGGTTGCTGGAAGAAAAGGTAAAAGTTAATTGAACATATAGTTTTTTTTTATTGTAAATTTTAGGTTTTCCTCATGTGATATATGCTCGAATATGGAGATGGCCTGACCTGCATAAAAATGAGCTCAAACATGTGAAATACTGTCAGTTTGCATTTGATTTAAAATGTGACTCTGTTTGTGTCAACCCCTATCATTATGAAAGGGTTGTGTCTCCAGGAATTGATTTATCGGGATTAACGCTACAAGCTGGAGGCACAAGATTGAAAGATGAGTACACTGCAGGTCCTGTTCCTGGAAATAGTATGGAAGTGGATGGAGAAATTGCAATGGGAGTGTCTCAGACAATTCAGCACCACCCACCTCAACAAGACTATAATTTAAGTGATCTCCAATCCCCTTCAGCTGGTAAATTCTGTTTAACTTAAATTTTAGCTAGTTGAAAAATATAGAGACTGCTGCAATTTATTCTGTAGGTGGCATAGGTCATAAGTCTACAGTAGTGTGTAGAGTAGTTTAGACAATTGACTATAGTCTTGCATAAGTCATCAAATAAGTTAAAGAATAATTTCTGTAGGTCTCTTTTGGGTTATGCATGTATTATTTTAATTATTGTGGTAGGTGATCAAGGACTATATAGTTCAACAAATAGGGCAGTACCTACACTACCAAATTTTGAAGTGGGCTCAGACACATGTTCCAGATCTAAATGGGTACCACACATGTATATGCATCGTAAGAGATTGCTTTTTACTTTTTTTTTGTTTCTTTTTTTATGTAATAATAATGTAGTGATCCATTGATATTTTTAGGTTCCAATCAAAGTTCCGCCCAACCAAATTCTATCAGTAATCAATCTTCAACAACCCCAAATGAAACAATCCATGCCACAACAAGTCATAGCAACCAGAGTCGGTTTTACAATACTTCACAAACCTCAGCAAATAATGACAGATCAATTCAAGGTACTTTAAATCAAAGCATTGGTTAGTTGATTTTTCCTATATTACTTAATTTAATAAATTAAAATTAGTATTTTTTAGGGGGTAATTCTCCAGTTTCAGCACATGTGCAGCAAAATGTCTTCAATGTTAATGGCAATGTAGCTCCAAACGCAAATGGGTTAACTGCAGATACTAGTCAACCAGTCACCACCATCTCTCAAGGGTTTACGGGTGCTGGTGGTACATGGACCGGTTCCAATACTCTTACTTACACTCAATCCATGCAACCTCCAGATACAAGAAATCAACATAATTATTGTGAGGGCATCAAAAACACTTTCTTTCATTAACATTACCCTGCACAGTTTTGTAGGGAATCACAATTCGCCAAGTCAAATGGGGTCTGATGTCACCATCTCTGGTTTGCTATCTGCACAACCTGCTCCAGAATATTGGTGTTCAGTGGCCTACTTTGAATTAGACACCCAAGTTGGGGAAACATTCAAAGTTCCATCAAATTGCCCCAGCGTCACGATTGATGGTTATGTTGATCCATCAGGCGGAAACCGATTTTGTCTTGGAGCTCTTAGTAATGTGCATAGAACTGATCAAAGTGAGAGGGCTAGGTAAAATTTTTAAAACAAATGTTAGATGGTAAAACTTTGAAATAACTTCAAGGTTGCATATTGGCAAAGGAGTTCAGTTGGATTTGCGAGGCGAAGGCGATGTTTGGTTGCGATGTTTGAGTGATCATTCAGTTTTTGTCCAAAGCTATTATTTAGATAGAGAAGCGGGGCGCCAACCAGGGGATGCTGTTCACAAAATTTACCCTCAGGCCTACATTAAAGTAATTATTTGCTCATTATTCTGCTTGAATTAATCAGTAGATATGTTTGTTTTCAGGTATTTGATCTTCGGCAGTGCCATCATCAAATGACGACGCAGGCTGCAACTGCCCAAGCTGCTGCAGCAGCTCAAGCGGCTGCTGTTGCAGGTCATATTCCAGGACCGCATTCTGTAGGTGGAATAGCTCCAGCTATTAGTAGGTCAATTCAACTAAACTTTATTTTAATAATTGTTCCAATTAAACTAAATAGGTTTGTCTGCGGCAACGGGCATTGGGGTTGATGATTTGAGGAGATTGTGCATATTACGCTTGAGTTTTGTGAAAGGTTGGGGTCCCGACTATCCACGACAATCTATTAAGGAAACTCCGTGTTGGATTGAAGTACATCTGCATCGAGCTTTGCAGTTACTAGATGAAGTTTTGCATACAATGCCAATTGATGGTCCAAGAGGTATCGAGTAATGAAAAGTTTTTTTTTTAAGTAAGCAACAAAAAGCAGAGATAAACAGACACAATGAAGCATTAAATGGTTCAATGTGTGAACTTGCGGTTTGCCATAATCTGATGCTATACCAAAACTTTAATATCAATTAATAATAGACAATTTGGAGCCAAATTGTTGTGCCATAACATATTTTTTAAATTGAATGAAAGAAAAGGTGCAAGTAGGATACTTAATTTAGGCTGTGATTTATGAAATTAATGTAGATGTAGAAAGTTTTTTTTATTTGACTGCAACATATAAATTAATTCAAGTTTGTTTTGACTTGAAAAAGCTTTTATTCATTTAAAATATTTATTTTAGTATCCCAGATGCTCTTTATTATATTAATGCTCATATAACACTTAATTAAGGTATCATGTGTATATTACTGGTTTATGTAGCAGAAATTGTTGGTATAAGTAGGAACTTGACTGAAGCTTTTGTTGATCTCTTTTAACACCAAACTGGTTCAAGTATATAAATAAGACTGCCGTGCTTTATGTTTAGTTACTATGTAATTTTAAACAGTGATCAACACAACTGTGCATTGGATAGTTTCCTTAAATAGGCAGAAAATGAGCCTTATCTTAAGATCTTAAGATATAGGCAGTGCATTGCAGTAGGGTTGTATAATTGACTGGTCAATTGACCACACAGTTAAAAATACCGTGAAATTGAGAATCGCTGAGTATCATATTCGGATATTTCTTGAAGAGGGTTATAGGTAAATACAACATCACAAACGCACTCTACAATAGCAAGATGTTATTTAAACTATTTTTTAAATAGTCAATTAAGAAGTGGTCAATTGACGATTAATTGATCAGTCCCAACACAACAAATACCTAATCAATAAAAACACATGCAATTCAGATTATTTTAAGAATTTCAAATAATTTACTTAATCCGATTAGGCTTGCGTAGACAACGGGGAAAATTACTAAGGAAGTTTTGATTTTAAAGAACATAATGAATTCAATTAATGTCAGAGAGAACTTTTGCAGCGCGTGCTTTGGGCCTTGCCGTTAAAAACTAAAGTCCCAAAATAATATATAAGTGAATACTAGTCATTAATAATCCTATTATAGTAATTGCCAAATAAAAAATACTGATTGTGACATCAGTGATCTAAGTAAATGTTGTAACTATAGCTTTAAAAATATGGTTTTACTATTGATTTTGTATTCTGTATATAATTAGGAAAATAAAAATCTTGCCAATGTGAATTTTTTATTTTTGTTTACATCTACATGACAGATCCTCATTAGAGGATGTGAATGTTTTAAATCATTTAACATTCATACATACTTCAGGATGATGAATAAAACTTATTTAATTTACAACACCTCAAAATAATTTATTTTGCTTTGCCTTGATTTGCAACTGCTTCCATAGCTTTTTTCACTGTTTCCGGATCACCCAAGAACTCCAAACTCTTAATAGGCTTCAAATTATCATCCAGCGTATATACAAAAGGAATTCCAGTGGGCAAATTTAGTTTCATAATAGCGTCATCTGACATTTCTGCAAATAAGTTATAATTAATAAAAAAATCAGAAAACAGTGTAGCAAATTACCATCTAAATGTTTAACGATGCCACGTAAACTGTTCCCGTGAGCGGCAATCAATATTTTTTTGCCAGCTTTGATTTGGGGAGTGATTGTTTCATTCCAGAAAGGGAGAGTCCTTTCAATGGTGAGCTTCAGAGATTCAAATTTTGGAAATTGATCTGGTGATGGCCCTTCGGCATATCGAGCATCTTTTACAATGGTCTCATAGTATGGATGGTCAGGCTCCATTGGAGGGGGTGGAATATCAAAACTCCGCCGCCAAATCGCCACTTGTTCGTCCCCATATTTAGCAGCTGTTTCCGCTTTATTTAAACCAGTTAAACCTCCATAATGCCTTTCATTTAATCTCCATGTTTTAATAACTGGCAAGTCAGTTTGCCCAATTTCTTTTAAAATCGCTTGAAGGGTGTTTTGAGCTCGTGTCAAAACTGAAGTGTAGGCAATATCAAATTGATATCCAGAATTCTTTAAAGCTTTACCAGCATTTACAGCTTCTTGTTTACCTGAAATCCAAACATTCTATTAAAAAATGCAATTAGAATAAGGTTAGAGCGACAAGGTCAAAAAAGGTCAATACAAAAAATCACCTTTTTCACTTAAATTTGCGTCGTACCATCCGCAAAACAAATTTTTTTCGTTCCATTCCGATTCACCATGACGAACCATTACAATTTTAAAAGGAGCCATTGCGTGTTTTTTTAATTTAGAAAGGTTTTGAAGAAACAAATGCAGCTTCGACCGGAGGAGACTACCGGGTCTAATTCAATGAAAAAATAAACTCAGATACCAACCAATATGTAATCCATGGTTAACGCATAGTCTCTGGCCGACCCAAAACTACTTTTACTGCGCATGTCGTAAAATAATCAAACGGAGCTTGCAATTGTCAAAATTTCCTTAAAAGTTTGTTCGATTTCCACTCCTTACTCAATCTAATGCAATACAATTGTTAAAAATGATAAAACGCAATTTTTCTAACTTAATCTTTATTGCTTAAACATGTGCACCACCACCACAGTTCCGTAGTTCTGTTGTTCCTCTTAGATTTGGGTAAAAACAAAAACACAGACCACAACTAAAAGGCACAGAATACAAAATAGAAGCGGCTAACTTAACTCTAAGATATAAAATCATAATTTTATCAACAGTTTCTCAATAATTTTAGATTTTTTTAGCTTTATCAAATACTGTGGCTAGCAAAATCGTGTTTTCGAGTATTTTACTCACTGGTCGGGAGAGATTGTTTGTTGTCAACATGTTTTTCAGTTTTGATGAAAGCTCCTATTAAACGCTGAACCAAAAACTTCTAGTTCATTAAAAATCGCTCCGCTCGTGCCTAAAGTGGTCTTTATAAGCTTGTTGCATAATATAATAAGTATTATAAGCATTCCAAAACCTAACCCCACATTTTATCCCTCGTTTAATGATCAGTTAAAAAATTAAAAAATAAAATTTAAATAGAATCCGTGTTCTGCCAAAACCTTTTTAACAGGAATAGAACGAAATTTATAGTTTGAAATTTACCTGTGCGACGACATATCAAACTCATATGCACCATTAAAATAAGAACCCAGCCGTGATCGACAGGTTCCGCGCTATCAAATATACAATTTCAAGAACCCCATTATTCAGTTGATCTTCTTTTCCTTCCTTCTTTCACTGCTTTGAGCGGAACTCTTCGGAATGAATGTATTCTCCGACGATACCAAATATAACATGATAAATATCCCATTAAAAAAGAAGCGAGAGTTTAGGGGGGCGGAGCAGCCAACGGTTTTCACAAATCAACATCGCCACAATCTCCAGCGCGGTGTGTAACCTAAACACCACTAGTCACCGTTCCGCAGTGTGGTAGACTCCGCCTACTAAATGGCGTACCGTACTCTATTCTTCCTTTCGAAGGTTAGCTTGGCTCAAGGGCAATTCTCCATCTGGCAGGTCTTTGAGAGGATTTCCGTAAGAATTTCTACTTTTATAAGCTTTATTTAAATAAAATTGAACTATGAACTAAATAAACATGATTATAGTTAGGTCATGCAGCTGTATGTCCTTTTATGGCTATTATAGACTTAATGACATTTACAGCCTTGTAATCTTACATTACAAAACATGATTGTAGACAGATAATGCGACTTTATGGGCTAATAGTCTGATTATAAATTCGCTTTGTTTTTATTGGTCCAAAACCCCCTTGAAAAGAAAAAGAAAAACTTAGACAGTGTTTCACCACTTCAACGAGTCGAGTATGAACACTTTTGAGTGGGGCTGACAGGCCGTTGAATCATAAAACAAATGACTATATGTTTTTCCTTCCGCGAATAATAAAGTATAAAGAGAAGAAGGTAGCGCCGCTTTAATTAATTAAAAGAAAAGCATATACAAATAAACAACTAAATTATATATAGATATTTGTTTAAGTTAAGAGAGGAAAAATAAAGTATGAAATCCGATGTGTATTTTTTTTCTCGATGTCTATCTATTATTATTATAATCTACAATATATATAAGTGATAATAGCAAAAAGGTTTGTTTTAAATCAAAATATATCCTAACTTAATTTTCATGACCTATAAAAAATAATTTAATCATTTGAACTGATCATATAGCTCTAATTTTTACAAATTTTTAGTTTTTATTACCCATGATAATCAGTTCTATTACTGGAAAACGGACATCCCACGCTGGTTTGGACAACGGATGGAGAATGGTGTTAATGACCACAGCAAAAATGCACGCCTAATCGATTTTGAAATTTATAATTAAACATTTTATCGATGTCGGCACGTATAATTTACGGCGGTACAAGGATAAAACGACTCAAAAAGTGTCCGGTTGAATTCGAAACGAGTGGTCCAGGCTAACGTCGGCACGCACGCCATCATGCATTGACGAAACGGCTGTCCGCAATCGAGATCACTGTTTACGATTGGCGATTAAAAACTATTTAATAATGAACGCAAACTGAAAGCTTCATCCGCCACGGAAAACTGCTGCCACTCAGATCGAATCACCATCGCCTATCTGCAACAAGAAAAATTTTTGGCGGTTCTGAAACCTCAAAAGTTGTCATCTCTCACTGTTGACACCGGAAGTGGGAAATCTCAAATTTGTCAAATGCCGTTGCATATAAACAACTCACGGGTCAGGCCTATTTGCAACGACCTCCTGGGTTAGCACTCGTACAAGTCCACCACCACGCTACTTTGAATTGACTGGCCACCACCCCACAACCACATTACTCTGCCTTTACCCACTACCACCAAACCCACTATTTCTGTTGAAATGCTTCTTAATGACTGCATTGTCTCGTCCCGATCTCATTTGCTGATGGAAGGTTGAATTTCTTCAATTCGTCCTCCTACACCTATATGAGTACACCGGCACCCACGCAAATTGGGACGTCGCTGATGCTAACCAGATCGAGTGGCCCCCTGAAAGATCTCCGCCTGCTTCCGTCGGCTATATGTTCTACAGGTACCACTCCTCCAATCCATGACGAGCAGCGTCTAATTATTCCATATAATGCTCCTATACCTATATAGGGACCCCCCCCAGAAGTAGGGACGTCGCCGGCGCAGACGCTAACCAGATCGAGTGGCCCCCTGAAAGATCTACGCGTGCTTCCCTCGACGATATGTTTTACAAGTACCACTCCTCCAATCCATGACGAGCAGCGTCTAATTATTCCATATAATGCTCCTATACCTATATAGCGACCCTCCCCCCCCAGAAATAGGGACGTCGCCGACGCAGACGCTAACCAGATCGAGTGGCCCCCTGAAAGATCTACGCCTGCTTCCGTCGACTAAGTGTGCTCCTAAAATCCATGACGATCAACGTCCATGGAAATAAAACACTACGGGAAGACGAATCTTCTTAAATTCTTCCATATAACCAATGACCCACATCTTTGTATCTAAGAAAACATAATAAAATGGTTAATAACCAAATTAAGGGGGCGTATTTTTTAAAAGTTTCTTACGCTTTATCCTGACTCCAGCGGTAGTCCTCTTCCTCACTCGTCAATACACTAATTCACACTTACTCGGACACCCTTACAAACTAGACCACCTACCTCTGTAACAAGGGAAATGGCATTATTAGTCGACAAAGATGGTTAGCGAAGTTGGATGAATGGTGGACGCAGCTTGTGCTCCAACTCCTCCATCACCAAAATTTCTTCTAAACTGACTACTATGCCGGACAATATTAGGTCTACCACTTACCGATTCTCTGCAGCGGCGTCGCCTATGTCCTCTTGCCCTTGATTCCCCGACACGATCAAACGCTTGTGTATTAAAATTAGAGCAGCGGATGTTGATGTTCTCCTGCTGAAGTCTTCAACGCAGAGGCGCCCCACGGAGCTCTCCAGCTTCGAAGAATGTCAGAGACATACCAATACTCAGATACACGAAAGGAATTGAAAAAATTATATAATAACGCTTCTAATTGGTATCTCCCTCCGCCACCCTAATACCGGACCCGACCGCGGTTTATTTAATTGTCATTTGCACTTAGAATTTAAAGACGAGCGGCGAAGCTGACCTTTAAGGGGTTTGAAGAAAACGAGCGCCACTGCCCCTTACAAAAACTAATGATGCCAGAACATTAAAAAAAAAAACGTGTCCTTCGAGGGTATACGGACGAACCTCAAAAGGACCACGCCCGGCGCGTCTGGATTGAGAATGAAATGTTTCACTTTTACTCGAAAGACGTCCTCGTTCTATGTGGTCGTCACGTTTCTTTGAAACGTAAATTAAACTGATGTATAACGAAGCAAAAACATTTTATTACATACATATTAAGTCATTATTTTTATTGTAATTCATACTTCTCCATCAATTTCACCATAAAGTGCGTTATTTCGTGGGCCGCTATATTCTTGAGATTCCCAAGCTCCAGGGTGTCGTCTGTAGTTCTGAGTAGCTGATCATTTCCACTTCTTTGAATTTGTAAGACTTCGAAACTATATTTAGGCCGCATGTGGTGGATCAAAACTTTCAGGTGTGCATTCCACCTGCATAACAGTGTATCAGTTGCGGGTTTCTTGTAGTGAAGGCAGACGCCGATTGTATTCTTTGTCGTATACCGAAAAATAGCCAATATCGGCTGTGGTTTAATCGGTGAAGTGTGCTTTTTCGCTTGGTTTCAGGCAATAGTGTTAGGGTTACCCAAAAGCTCACTAACATGGATTTTGCCTGATTTTCGCCTCTTGGCAACCTATTACAGTTTTTGGAGAAGCATCGAGCAGCATCCTTGCATACAGCTCTTTAACTCCGTCTTTGGATTTTCCCCAAAAATGCAGGCCTGTGTCCTTTCCTCAGTAGATAAGTCTTGATCTGAACCCTGACTTTCCTCCTTGGCAGCTTTACTTCGTAGGGCATATTCGACGTAGTTGCTTTAGCCGTTTTCTCTGATGCCAGTTCCAATTTTAGATTTTCGGGCAAGCCTTTACAGTAAATTGTTTAAGTTGAAGGTCATCAAGTTATTGTTGAATCTTTAATATTGCCACTTGCAAATATATTATTCCTTCCAGGAATGACATGAATTTTCAGTACATTGTCTCTTATAATTTTTTTTAAAGAAATTTCCACATGTTGTGCAACTTGTCGGCATTGCCTTCCATGCCGCTTAAGGTTTAATTGCTTTATAAACAATCGAAACCCAAAGAGCGCTAGCTGCAAGTATTTTGCTCCGTTTTAGCAACATTCACGAGGCTGTCGAAATTATCAAAGAACCTGACAACATAAATCCCAACACAAGTTTCTATCTCTCAT